CCAGGTCACCGCTGCTGCTCCTGATGGCGCCGGCGTTAGAGAGGGTCGGTCCAGGTCACCGCTGCTGCTCCTGATGGCGCCGGCGTTGGAGAGGGTCGGTCCAGGTCACCGCTGCTGCTCCTTATGGCGCCGTCACCTCTCCTTTCTAGAGCCGCATCAAGTCTTTTTTGGGAATGTGATCTTTTCCTGTTCCTATAAAACCCGGTTTTGTAGCGAGGCTATTGGATAAAACAGCTGGTTTCCTAGCAACATAACGAGAAAAACATAAAAGGTTTATTTCCGTGGAGCAAAACGGGACAAACTGAGTTCCCATGAACGACCGAACGGTGGAAACTCTGCAGATGCTCCCTGGTCTAGAGGTCTAGATCTGCATGATCTAACGAGGCGTGTCTGAGTGTCTAGATCTACATGCATGACTGCAGAGTTTGGATCTAAAGGGTTCTGGACGGGTTCTGGTCTGCGGTGCTGTTGGGTTGGCCGTCTGCTGATCCCTGATCAGTCCAGCTCCTAATCTACTAACAGCCGCAGGTTTGGGACCTCCTCCTCTAATCTGACCCCAGATCAGTCCGGCTCTGTGTTTTTTTTCACAGGGCGCCTGAGGAGCTCTGATCTCCGTTCTCCGATACCAGCGGCGTTTACCGTCCCGCTCATCAGCAGGATGGAATAGAGCGGCGCTGCAGAAAGGTTAGCGGGTTTAAAGACGGCAGAATAAAGAGCAGGACTTTACATCCCAGATGTTTCCCTGGAACGTTCACCGCGCTCACTGCTCATCCACGCCGTCCAGCTGGGTCAATGTTCTGATGTCCTGGTCAGGTGGCAGTTATTCAGCGGTAAGGCGGCGGGACGGCCCCCACCCTGACAGGGAGGGCCGGTCTGTAGACCGGAAACATTTCCTGTTATCTTTAGCGGCCAACTGCTGCCTGATTAATAAAGAAAAACTCTTCAACTTTAATAACAAAGATATTATTGATGTTTTCTGAATGTTGGTGGGAATGAAATCCTGTTTCCTCCAAGAAACAATCTATACTTAGCCTCCAGGATATAAACAAAGTCCGGATGTTCAGTCGGGTGACGTGTCGTCGTTTCTCTCTCAGGGTTGGTGTTGGTGACGGACGCCATCACAGCCATGGGTCTTCCTCCAGGCCGCCACACTCTGGGCCAGCAGGTCATCGAGATCCAGGGTCTCCATGCCTACGTAGCAGGTCTGCTTCTCCCTTTGCTCAATGTCTCTGCGGCAGTGAGGGCGTTTTCACCATGTGGGTCGGTGGACCAGCTGAGCTAGAACTAAACGTCCACAAAAACATTATGGTTCAGAGAAGAAGAATTAAAGCCTTCACAGATTTCTGTCAGTCAGAGACGAGACAAGTTCTGAGTTAAAGAAGAGTTTCTATAGTTAATGGGAGAGATGAATGAAGCAGGATGATGAAAAAGGGGTCCCTATGTCCTCCAGCAGTCTAAGCCTATAGCAGCAGAACTATAGAGATGGCTCAGGATAACCTGAGCCACTCTAACTAGAAGCTTTATCAAAAA